GACAAAGATGAGAACAATAGTCCGAATAATGTAAATAGTGTACATAATGCCTCATCTCAGAAATATAGACAGATAATGAAAGGCCGAAACGTTGTAATAAATATGGTGACAAAGATGAGAACAATAGTCCGAATAATGTAAATAGTGTACATAATACCTCATCTCAGAAATATAGACAGATAATGAAAGGCCGAAACGTTGTAATAAATATGGCGACAAAGATGAGAACAATAGTCCGAATAATGTAAATAATGTACATAATACCTCATCTCAGAAATATAGACAGATAATGAAAGGTCGAAACGTTGTAATAAATATGGCGACAAAGATGAGAACAATAGTCCGAATAATGTAAATAATGTACATAATACCTTATCTCAGAAATATAGACAGATAATGAAAGGCCGAAACGTTGTAATAAATATGGCGACAAAGATGAGAACAATAGTCCAAATAATGTAAATGATGCTTTACCCATGAACTGCGTTCCGTTTTCAGAGATTATGAAACATTAGTTCTACTGGCGACATCCCTCAACGCACATTGGCTTTTCCTGTTAGAACGTCACAATTCTATTCCTATTATTACAACACACACTTAGTTATAACAATTACTTTGTATAAGGATTCTCAGTACGAAATGCTTTGGATACTTCACTCCCCCAATTAATCAGGTTATGACACCAGGTCAGTTTTCAACATGTGTATTCGAGTGTTTTCACTTGGGCTGCTGGTCTAAGCTGGTCATAGCTTGTCCAAGCTGGTCAGATCTGGTCTAAGGTAGTCATAGCTGGTCTTGGCTTGTCGTAGCTGGTACAAGCTGGTCAGAGCTGGTCCTAAGTAGTCGTAGCTGTGATACCACCATCACAGAGATGGATCTCTACACCAGGTAAGTAGATATTTACTTGATCACCCCACTGAGTCAGGTTGTGACACAAGGTCAGTTTTAACGTGAGGACTCGAGAGTTTTTACTCGAACCGCTGGTCTAAGCTGCCCGGAGCTTGTCCAAGTTGGTCAGATCTGGTCTAAGCTAGGCATAGCTAGTCTTGGATAGTCACAGCTGGTCCAAGCTGGTCCAAGCTAGACGTAGCCATGATACCATCAGCACAGGGACGGAGCCCTACACCAGGTAAGTACACTGTCGTAACGTCTGTATGAGTCTGAAGACTGACACAAAACACATAGGTATTAATAATAAATCTTCCCTGGAGACAGGATGTGGCAGAAGGCTGGTTTTTACGTGTGGTGATTCCGTGGCACGGGCAAAAAACCCCTCAGACCTCGCATACATGAAGTCAGGTTTGTCTAACTCCCTAGACGAAATTCTGGCCTAATATACTCCAAAAACAGCGCTACGTCAAATAACAGAGACAGGCAGTAATATATGACCTCATATGGCTGACAGAACTCTCAAAATGGTAATTTATAGAAGAAATAGGAGTTCATTAATATTTATATTTATTTCAAGAGTCATAGCTCAGTTGACAGAGCGGATATCTGTAATAAATAATAAAAGACAAACTTCGCACAAAGTTTCATATCAGGCGAGGAATATTTCGATATGTTACTAAGGAAATTTACAGTTAATAATAATATTATTTAAACTCTTCACATGTAACTGCAATAAGTTGGTAGAGCAAAAGACAGAAGGAGGAATACTTAAGTGGATCGCACAAAGTAACCTCACAGGATAATTTTAAATATGTAACATTAGATATGACAAATTATTCCAATTTACATTACGCAGCGCTATGTACAAGCAATAGAAAAGTACGTAGAGAAGAGAAGAGTAAATAAATATATACAGAGGGCGGTGACTTAAAGGATAAATTTACGTCTATAAGGATAAATTTTATTGTTACATTCAGAGAGACATATTTATTACAACATGGGCGACAACAAAGTTACAATGGACATAGATCTACTTGTGGAACGTACAAGTGCATCAAGTATGAAGCTAAATCAACATGCGATGGTTCAAATCCGTACGAAACGAAATATAATACTTAAAGAATTAGAATTAATATTGAATTAAATGCAGAATACCGATGTACGTGATAGTGAAGAGGACAATAGTAATAAAATACTGGAATCCTTAAGTCGATGGCTCACATTCGTCTCAAAAAATTATTTTGATATTTAATTTTGACAAGATACAATTGCGAGACATACACGAACTTACGATAGCTCAGTTGGTAGAGCGGAGGACTGTAGTAATGAAGTACTGAAATCCTTAGGTCGATGGTTCAAATCCGTCTCGCAAGATAATTTTCGGTTTAGGCAGTAAAATCGACCTTGCTAACCAAAACGATCCTCTGTGGCTCAATCGGTTAAGGCAATCAAAGCCATATGACGGTTCCATATATGTTCGATTCCTGTCGGAGGACGAATATTTTCTATAAAAATTTCTCCTGGACATTCAGGCCCATAAATGTAATTAATACTGTTTATTATAAACAGAGCATTTACTTAATAAATTGTACCTATCAAAATAACATAAACAGAATATAAATATATATATATATATATATATATATATATATATATATATATATATATATATATATATATACCAATGGCCGACTGACATGAAAATAAAAAAAAGACAGATAAAAATAAACTTAGTCTGAAGACTGGAGTTACACATAGGCGGTGTAACGGTTAAAAAGTTTGTCTTAGAGAACAATTACGAATGGGAATAGGGGAGTTCGATTCTCATGTTTACCCCCCAAAACTTTCGGCCTTGTGCCACATCTACGCTAAAAAGTGCGGAGTTTGTAACACATGTATTTATCATCTATCATTGCGTCTCTGTCCCGAGTGAAATCGGGGACGACTCCATCAAAAGGACAGAGTCGCAACTGAGGAAAATCATGCTCTGAGAGGTATTCCAGCCCTTCCCCAACATCTGCCCGAAAAAATACTCTCATTGCACAAAAGAGAGGATCGGTTCTCGCTGGCAATTTTTAATCCTGGCCCACAATCGCGCTCGATGCCCCACTTTGAAAATTGACCATTTGTCACAACTCGTTTTAATAGGGAGAGAGAAAACTAAATACCTAGTCTGCGGTTGGACGGAACGACTAAAAAAATAAAATAAACTTTAGGGAACAAAACGAAGTAAGGCATAGAAAATGAAAACGAAAGGCATTAAGAGATTATATATAAAAAAATAAACTAAAAAACAATTAAAAAGATTATTAACGGGCGCTGAAAAATAATAAAAAAATTAAAATACAGTTACACAGAAAAAATGAATCAATAGACAACTGAAACTAGATTTTATACTAGCAGCAAAAATTAAAAAAAAAAAAAAAAAACTCGGAGGAAGGGCGAAAAATCTCCCCGCAAAAAAACATTATTAAAAATCAAACATAAAAAAACAGAGATAAACTTAACTTGAAAACAGTATTTTATTCTTCCAATACAAAAATATCATTTCCAATCGGTTAGCGATAAAAATACGGCGAGTGCGTGGTAATACGAAATCAGTTTGAATAAACGAACTCTGGACTGACTCCAGACAGTTTTATATATACACCTACCTCCGGGATACAACACAAGATCAGGTTTAACGTGAGGGACCTGAACGCGAAAAACTCGGGCGACGGATTTAAAATTTACCACTTTTATTCTCTCAACTCTATTCTTCTTTATCCGAAGACAGAGACGAGACCGAGTCACCGCCTACCCAAAGATAGCCGCCGTGTCAGTTAAAAACCAGACTGCCTGAAACAGCAATTTTATTTACCGAGTCCCCTGACTGAGAGGAGATGTGACATAAAGTCGTATTTCTGTAAGGAGGGAAACGAGCTTTTCCAATTAAATTTCTTTGGTCACAATTTAACCAAAAAAATACATTCATGCAGGTTCAAGTACATTACATGTTACGTTCTTCTCAGCCGAGTCTCTAGCCGTAGACAGATCGACTAAGTCACCATCTTTGTTTAGATATTGTCGTGTCAATAAATAAACCAGACTGGCTGACTTGAAACATAAGACGGGTATTTAACAGTCAAGAAAAGCGAGGAGTTGTTTCATAATGTCGAGATTTCTGTAAAAAGAACCTGAGCTTTTCCATTGGGTTTTTTTGTCACAATTTAGCCAGCCATTGGATTCGCAGTTTCATTACATTACCTGTCTGTTTTTATCAGCCGAGTCTCCGTCTTTAGACACATCCTTCACTAAGTCATCCTCTACCGAAGAGGTTAATTGTCAGTCTAAAGAGACAGTGAAGTACCTGGCTCGAGAATGATATTTATTACTGAAAATACAGTAATATGGCACAAGAAATGAAAAGATTTTGAAGTGTGGAAAAGTTTGGACTCTGCTAACTATCCTAGTCAATCACGACCCATTCGTCAATACAATTTATCCATTTACCAAAAAGAAAACACCATTGCCACTCAGTTGCGCTTATACCACAATGCCACACATTCTAAATTTTGCCTAAAAAAAAAATCTAAATAAAAATCTCTAAAAAATCTATAATAAAATATATAAAAATTTATGAATCATGAAATTAGAGGGATGGAACGAATTCCAAAAATTAACGAAAGATTTTAATGATACAAACTAAAACAAAACAGATGTTAGTAGGACCAGTCCACATCTCAAAATACTAACAAGGTCCGCTGTATAGTGTACTGTACTACTACTGTACTGATGCGGCATTCACCCTGGGCGGATTGAGCCGGCTTCTTCCTGTTATGAGAAGAAGATTCTTGGGATAAATTACAGAAGTAGGGTACCCAGGCCTACTCGGATAACGTTCTTGCTTGCCGCGGGGTTCCCACAGACGCAGAGACAGGAACGACCAGAAGCCGCCGGTTGCCGATGCAGACGCTCCTTGGATTTTCACCAGAGCCCTTGTTAGCCGGCATGTGTGTCAGACCTGTCCGCCTTTGGTGGCCCTACCAGGAACGAAGTTCCGGACGGCATAGCTCTGACACTACCGTTTACACCCCCACCGACTGTGAGGTAAGGGTTGGACTTTGGGGCTTACAGTACCAGGTGTTCCCAAGCGGTCCCCCATCTAAGTACTGACCTGGCTCTACGATGCTTAACTTCGGTGATCGAACGAGAACCGGTGTTTTCAACGTGATTTGACCGTAGGAATCACAGGAAACCGCTCCATTATGATGAAGAAACTTTAAAAAAAAAAGGAATTCAAGGATAGCCCCATTCGTGGAAACAGGTTCTCTACTTTCACCCACCTTTCGCTGAAATCTGTCGACAACAAACACTTTCTATCGGTTCTGGTCTTCACCTTCAGCTGATGCTGAAAGAATCTGATCAAAGCCTAATGAAAATAGCGTTCATATTGCAAGATTCCCACCATTCGCGGCGTCCAGTACTGTTAGAAACAACATTCATTTCACCCCCACCCCAGAATACGCGTGCGACACATTATCGCACACGTATGCCAGATCGATGAGCCCAAATATATCGCGAGCGATACGATCCGTCAACTCGTCGATATAGTCCCAGAAAGGAAAGTACCTGAGGACAATGGTCGAAGACGTGCGAAGTCTTTTCTTCTAAACCAATGGTCGCACTGGTGACAGTCGGGCAAATCCGCCCCATTTGAAGGCCATGACATTGAGAGAGAGCACGTTCCGAATCAGTCGCCAGGTAAGCGAAAATTCAGGGTTACTGAGGTAATTCGCCGCTGGCGCCCAAGACTAGAAAGAGCGTATTTCGGCCAGCGAATAACCGAGCCGCTCATAGAGAGAATTCTTCGCGACGCCCTTCACTAATTCACAAGATCTTTCGAATCTGTGAAAGGTCACTGGGCCGAGGAAATACCCTCAAAGCCGCTCGACACTCGTTGAGGAAAAGTCGACAGTTTCCTGGACCTACGATGACGCTTAACCCAGGAAATGGGAGGAGTGATGGTAAAAGTAAGGGAAGGCGTCCCTACCACTCCGACAAAAAATCTAATCATCTGTCAAAACGTGGCGTAGGAAATCTAACCACGAGGCATTTTGATGACTCACCAAGTGTCGCAATCCCAGCCCCCATGACACGGACATTGGACACAGGCTTTTTATTGACCAGCTAGAGCCCACCCCACATGAAGGTGGACAACAAGCGCTTGATCGCCTTCATATGGTCCTTCATAATGAACAAGTACAGTCAAACGATAAAAGGATGTTAGGAAAGATGTAAGTGGCACACGTCTCAGTCCTACCCTTCAAGGACAACCTCTTCCGGAGTCAAGTCCGGACTGACGCTCCGACCTTTGCCTGTAACTCTGACCAATTTCTCTCCAGCTGGAGGTCGGGTCCAAAGCACATACCATGAATGTGGAAAGGACCGCGCGTCCAAACAAAGGGCCCCGGAAGATCTACCCACTTCCAGGCACCTAACCGCAAGCTGTGAGATTTGTTACGGTTAATCTTACCTCCTTCCCCGTGAACTTTCCGTACCGTTCAATCGCTTTCCGTACCACCTCAATGTCGATGCGGCACGACAAGAAAATGGATATGTCATCGGCGTACGCGGAAACCTGACTCGAGCCCACTAAGGACAATGATTCTACGTGGGCCGGACTGCTCACCCAGTCCCTCAGCCGACGAAAGAGCTTGGTTCGAGAATTATACCTGTCATACCTCTGATCTGGAGATATTTATAAATGGGCGAGTTCATATAGTCACCATGTGTGTACTATTTATTCCACAACATGCGGCCTTTTAGATTAATACTTTCATGAATGTTTTATTTTTTATTAGTAGTCTCACCGAACAGTGTCAAACTGTTCAACTGTCGAACTCTCTGGCATGAGAGGAACCCGGATGATGGTTTGTCGAAGGGCAAAGTTTTGTCCGGGGAGGTAGACAGGTCCTGAACCCCGTCTAGGCGGGTTCAAAGAAATATTTTTTGCCGAGGCTACGGGCTCTGAGAAACCCACGTTAAACTCGGCCTTGTGGCACATACATGCCTTGTGGGGACTGTTGCAATATGAGATCTGGTAAAAACATGCAATGATTACAGCAAAAAATGCAATATGAGCACTGATAAAAATGGTTGCTGAAGACATTAGGTTTATAATACCCAGAAATTCATACACAGATAACGCACATTGGGTTTTCCTCAAGAACACATAG